ATAACCACCAGCCTTCTGGTTAGCCATTAAGTGCCTTAGGCACTACGCCACCAGAGAGATGCAAATCAAAACAACAATGAGATACCATCTTGTTTCAGCACTAGTGGCAAAGTTCAATGAGACGGAAAATAACAAATGCTGGTGAGGATGTGAAGAGATTGGGACTCTCATACACTGCTGGTGGGACTGTAAAATGGTACAACCATTGTGAAAAGCAGTATGGTGATTTCCTTCAAAAGTTGGAACTAGAAATACCATTTGACCCAGCTATTCCATTACTAGGTATATATCCTAAAGAAGTGAGAGCCATGACAAGAATAGACATATGCACACCCATGTTCATTGCAGCACTAATTACAATAGCCAAAAAATGGAAACAACCTAGGTGTCCATCAACTGAGGAATGGATAACCAAACTATGGTACATACACACAATGGAATACTATGCAATGCTAAAGAATAATGTAGAATCTGCAAAACACCGCATAACATGAATGAACTTCGAGGACATTATGCTGAGTGAAATAAGTCAATCACAAAAGGACAAATATTGTATTAGTCTGTTATTGTAAAAGTCAAGGAAAGGTTTATCTATGGAAGGAAATTTTCTTTGTTGGTTACCAGGGGTGGGAGGGGAGGGGAGGGAACACTGTTAGATAAATAGAGATAAGTATTGATTTGGGTGAAGAGAAGGGCAATGTACCAAATGTGAGTGATCAATATAGTGGCATTGAGGAAGAGAAAGACATAGAGAGGTACCTGGGAGGTACAGACAACAAAGATGAACCCCTTTGCACACATAGTACAGCACTGTCAGTAAAGCAAACATGGGTACGCGGGTGGATAGATGGGTAGACAGGCTGAACTATTAGGTATGTCTATGAAGCTGGGAGTGTACCCAAGAACATGTATAGGCTTGGCAGACAATGGTCCTACAAGTTTATGTGCATGATCAGAATTCCCAGGTGTATAGTAGAGCTGACAAGGGGCAAGGCTGTAGTCACTGCTTGGTCATAGCCAGCTACCCAGAGGGACCGAGTAGTTGAGCCTGTGGACTTGGGACCTTAGTCGCAGAGGACATCAAGCTCAATTGGCATAACATACTACACAAAACATTGTTTCACCTCTTACTTTGGCGAGTAGCTACTGGGATATTAAAAGCTTGCAAGCTGCCATCTAGATGCAATGATGGGTCTCTCCTTGTCCAGAGGCAAGAAGAATGAAGAAAATAAAAAAATTCATGGAAACAATTAGTCCTAGTGACTGGTACACCATCTGATCTGCAGCCTATACGAATGTGAGACAAGAAGTAAATGGTGCCCGGCTACTACTGTCAACCACTTGGAAGGGGATCTATGTAGGAGATCCCAGATAGAGAGGGAGAACAATGTGGAACAAAACTTAAAATCATTTGGAGGAAAAAAAGGGGGCGGGGACCAGTTTTGTTGGTCCCATAGAGCCTGGTGGAACACTGAGACTATGGCCCCTAGCTGCCCTTCAGGTCTGGAATTGAACCCACACCTGTGGCTTCCAGCCAAACAAAAGACAGGCATATGAGTTGAACATTTACCTGAGGTAGATACACCCCTTGGAGAGATCAATCATGGGAGAAAGAAGGCTGCTTATGCACAGGGAGACAGCTCAGGGTGCAGGAGTGCATGGAGGGATAGAAACAGGGAAGAGGTAATTATCGGGAGGAAGTAGGAGGGGAGATGTTGCATTGTGGTAAATTGTGGTCAATGTCATGAGACAAAGTGTATGTGAATTGCTGTATGTAAAGCGAATTTGCTCTGTAAATTTTCACCGAAATCCCAATTTAAAAAAAAAAATAATTTATATTGGGAAATATTGGCTTTCAAGTTTTGAACCAAAGTTGAGGTCAGAGAGCAAATATGAACCAGCAAATTTGGGACCAGAGAGCATTTTAGAGTTGCATGCCCATACGGTGACCAGGTGATTAACTTAGCACTTGAAATGGGCTAGTGAAAAGCTCTTGTAGTGTAGTGCCTAAGGCACTTGACTGCTAACCAGAAGGCTGGTGGTTCAAACCCACCAGCCACTCCTCGGAAGGAAGATGGGGCAATCCACTTCCTTAGTGATACTGCCTTGGAAACCCAAGGAGGGGTTGCTATGAGTCGGGTCTGACTCAATGGCACATGACAACAACAATAACAAGTATAAAATACATACCATTTTTTGAAGACTTAGTATGAGAAAAAAAAAAAAGTAAAATAGCTCATATATAATTTTTACCTTGATTTTACATTTGAAATGATATTATATATAGTGTATTACATAAACAACATCATTGAAATTGATATTGATTTCATCTCTTTTTCTTTCTTATGTGGTTTCTGTTGTTAGGTGCTGTCAAGTCAACTCCAACCCATAGTGACCCTACATACAACACATCGAAACACTGCCCTGTGCACCATCCTTAAAATCTTTGTTGTACTTGAGCCCATCATGGCTTCTAAACAGTTTAAAATTACACATGTGGCTTCCATTTGTGCTTACTGACAACACTTTTCTACAGATTGTTAATTCACTCATAACTGGGAATCTTTGATGTTCACTTTATGGGATCCTGGATCCTAAACAAAAATTATCCTGTTTCCACTTCCAACACAATAAAGAAGATGAAATATGCAATAAGAAAGATGATTTTATTTGAAATTTTAAAATTTTAAATTCTCCCAAAAGATACAAAATACTTGAAAAAATGGAAAGACAAAAATGTTCTTGAATAGGAAAATCAGCATCATAAATGTGTTGGTTCTCCCAAAATTAATTTATAAATTTAAGATAATCCCAGCAAAACTACCAGCAGAATATTGAGGGTTTTCAATGGATAATGTGAAGGAGCTCCAGTGGTGCAGTAGCTAAGGCATTTGTCTTATAACCCAAAGATTGGTGGTGGTTCAAACCCACCAGGCACTCCAGGGAAGGATGAAGCAGTCTGCTTGGAAGCCCAGTGGGGGTCGATGATGAGTTGGAATCCATGTGATAGCAGTCAGTTCCGGGTTTTTGTGGATGTATGATGACGGTAGAGATGGAGACACCATAAAGTCCATGTGTAAAAACAAAATGAATCAAACAAGAAATAGAGTAACTAATAAAATTCTCGAAAACATTGGTGAGAAGTGACTAGCCCTACCTACTATTAAAATCATGTTGTAATATGTTATTATTCATTCCATCATAAAACCAAATACACTGTCATTGAAACAGACTCAACCTGGACTCCTAGCAACCTCTTCTTGGGTTTCTGAGGCAAAGTCACTACAAGTAGGTTGCCCAACCTTCCTTCCGAAGAGTGGCAGGTGGGTTTGAACCACCAGCCTTCTGGTTAGCAGTCAAGTGCCTTAGGCACTAGGCTACCAGAGCTCTTACTTTAGGAATGGCCAAGGATGGGTCACTATGAGCCGGGGCCCACTCTAGGAGGGCACATAACTACAACAAAGAGACCAAAGGAACAGAAGAGAGTTGTCCTTGGAATTCAGCCTGTAAGAAAGGTGGCATCCCAAATGGGTAAGAGAGTGACAGAAATGGAAGAATTCTTAAACAATCTTGGCAGGAGGGCAATGGATCCGCATATTTAGGTTTACCCTAAAATAGAGAAAGTTGTAATTTTTAATGTGAAATTAATAACACAATTCCTAAAAGAAAGCATAGGAGAAAAAATATGTTTATTTTAGTGTTGTGATAGGAAAGAAGTTTTTCTTATGGTTTAACAAAAGGATTAAAATATCTCAATTCTTTTGCAGTCCAGCAGGGTAAACTCCGTGGTCTCGTCTACAGCTAATGGCGGGAGGTGGACGCCAGGGGCGGTAGTTAACGCAACACCCTTGGCGCAATGGGTGAAGAACCGAGTGACAGGTCTCCTAGAACTTGGGCTTCAAAAATATGTGTGTCGAACAGAATAAAAAGTAGAACTGCACTTTCCGTACCGGGGAGAAACGTGGATATGAAAAGAATCCAGATAATATTGCTAAAGCAAATTAAAGGCCACTATCAGGCATCCCCCTGCCGATTCATATTTCTAATAGTTATCCAATGCTTTTGTTTTGAAACTTTGGGACCGTACAATGTTTTTAAAACAACTTCAATTTTTAAACGTTAAAGCCTATATTTAAAGTGAATCGGTGACCGGCCTGACAGGACAAAATGGCCGCTTAGAAGTTGTTTTGGATACACGCAAATCCACCACGCTGTAGCCAAAAGTGGCTCATCACGAACAAAATGATCAGAGACCAGCCTTTCCCCGATGGAAGGGTCGTCTTTTTGCTGTTATAACGTAGCTTTTTTAAGTTCCTTTGTTGCCACGGCAAATAACAATTAGCAAAGGAATGCAGGACAAAGGCGCCTCCACCCACTCTCCTCCCGAGAGTGGCTGGTACCAACGCCCCCAGGAGACACCGCCTTGACTTTGGCGAACATAAAAGTCTCAACTACCACACATTTCTGCGACAAATGCAAAAGAGCAAACTATCTAAAACCAAATAAAGCAAAACAGACTAGAGAGGAGGTCGATCACTAACCAATTAAATACAGGATCAAAATCATGGGCTAGAGATGTGGGCCAACCCGCGCGCAGAGCGGGACTTTTGAATTGTTTCTCAGTCTAATCGTGATATCCCTTAAGACTCAAATACTAGTTTTTCTTTAATTCTGGTCGCTTTGCTGCTCACTAGCGTGGAGCAGAGATCCCCAGTACACCAGCTGCGGAGGCTTGCAACAGCTGACTAGGAAGCTACCCCAAGAGCGCGTAAGCACAGGAGTGAAGCCTTAAGAGTGGGAAGTCCCAAGAGCTCACAGGCGCAACTTTTCACCTCACCATCCCCCGCCCCGTATCACCCTAGTAATCTACGCCCTCCTGCGGCCTGCATTAGAATAAAGTGCCACAGCTGGTAGATTAAGCGTATTCAGCTCTTTTTCTGAGATGTGGGGTGGCTCTGAAAAGAGCCTTTTGGGTTTTAGAAGTAGGCGTTCGCAACAACCTACTTCTTCTTGGGGGCAGCTTTCTTAGGCTTGGAAACCTTGGGCTTAGCTGTCTTGGGCTTCACCGCCTTCGCTCCGCTCTTAGCGGCTTTCTTGGCCTTGGGCGCCTTGCCCTTCTTTGGGCTCTTAGCCACTTTCTTGGCCACAGCTGCAGCCGCAGGCTTCTTCGCTTTCTTTGGGGTCTTCTTAGCGCTCTTCTTGGGGGTGGCTGCGCCTGTTGCCTTCTTCGCCTTTTTGGTTGCTCCAGCTGGCTTCTTTGCTTTGGCAGCACCAGCCTTTTTGACCTTGGGTTTGGCTTCCCCGGAAGCTGCCTTTTTGTTCAGTTTGAAAGAGCCCGAAGCGCCTGTGCCCTTGGTTTGCACCAGAGTGCCCTTGTTCACCAGGCTTTTAAGACCCAGTTTGATGCGGCTGTTGTTTTTCTCTACATCGTAGCCAGCAGCCGCCAGTGCCTTCTTCAGCGCAGCCAGTGACACGCCACTGCGCTCCTTGGAAGCGGCCACCGCCTTGGTAATTAATTCGGACACAGGCGGCCCAGACGTCTTGCGGCGCACCCCTGCAGGCTTTTTGGCAGCCTTTTTCTTCACAGGGGTCTTCTCCGCCGGGGGCGCAGCAGCGGGGGCAGCAGGAGCGGTCTCCGACATGACGAAGATCTAGAACTCGGGTACAAGTGGCAGAAAGCCGATGGAGAGACGCCTAGGACCGGCCGCCGTATATATAGAGCGCAGGCGCGCGCTGATTGGTGCTCTGGTCGCCCGCCTGGCTGGCAAGCTCTGAGCCTCCGCGATGCGCCCAAGTTGTGTTTGTTCCACCTCAAAAAAGGGGGAAAATATCAAAATGCCCTGCACCAAATCACCCGGATTTGGTCGAGAAAGGATCCGTGAAGTCTCAGGCTTCGTGCTATTCAGTTATTTTCTCTGCAACCACAAACACAACGCGTCCAGGAGTCCCCACCTCCCCCAACTCTGTGCAAACTTCAGGGCAGTCGGAGACCACTTTCTGTTTTTCTTCTAAATTACCTGTTCACTCCTTTGCCCCTGAAAGTTCTTTTTCCCAGGGGTGATTGGGCACATGCTTCCCTTCTTGTAGGGACAAAAACGGAATACTTTCCGAGTAAAGTTTCAAGATAATTTTGTTTCTTCGCAAGGGAAGTAACACAGGTCCTCTGTGAATTCTGCGTACAGACCCACAGGAACTGTGGACTGGGACAAGGATTCCGGGACCAGTCCAAAGCAATTAGGGCAGGACGCGAGGGGGTACATAAGCCGTGAGTGGTGGTCGTGGATGGTGGGAAGTTAGAGACTTAAATCTTCAACTGGGAGACATTTAAACTCTTATCAAATCCTTCTTTTCATACATGGGGGCGGGGCAGGCTTTTCACTTCTCCAAAGGCTAAAAATTGGGCTGTTTATAGAAAGCTTTCAGGGTCCCCTCCGGGCTGTGCAAGGCAGGGGTTCGGGGCCCTCAAGAAAAGGGATAATAAGAGAAGAAGAGAGACCCCTTCACCCCCAGCTTGCAAAGAATCCCCAATCGACTTGGCACTAGGGATATTGAGGTATCTGTTTTCAAAGTAAGAAGTATTATTTATTTATTTACTTTTGTACACTGAAATATAGAAATGGATTTTAGCCCGTGAACATACTAGGTTACTCCCAGTAGCAATAACTTACACATGTCATAGTACAGAAGGACATTCTCTAAGTGGTAACTCAATGATAAGTTAGAAATAAAGCTAGTGACTTTCACAAAGCATACTTTTGACTTACAAAGACGAATCATAGATTTGAACTAGAAAAACAGGAAAATTTTAAGCTGAAATAGAGGAGAAGTACTAGAAGATATAAATAATTATACATCTGTTGTTGATGAGAGTAATGTCACTCTTATCTTCTCTAAAGTGGGACAAATGTATTCTCTTGAAGTTTGCTTTGCTACTTTAGATTCGCTACTTCATATTTTACCATTTTGTCACAATTGCAAATTTTTCTTTGAGAAAAAAGATCGAGTGAATATTCTACTCATATATTTAATATAATTATATACTGACATATAGAGACAAAGGAAATATTCCAACTCACCAGAAACTCCTGTTCAAATATATGTCTACAGAAGAAAACATGGCTTAAAGATGTCTTAGATTGTGGTAACATCAGAAGGGGCTTTACAAATGAAGCTCAGTGATAAACTAAAAACAAGTCATCTTCTTTTAAATTAAGAATCATCCATGCTTTCACTGAATAACATTCATTCAACATTTGGAAACAGTGGCTACTACTGAACATGACCTCTAGGAATCAACGGCCTAATAAGATTAGTGATGGATGAATTAGCAGCCTTAAAAAACCACCTTAAACTTGCTACCATTAGTGTGTTAGACACACTATTTCATTAGGAATTGTAAGACATTGTTGAAAGTGTACAAATAGCTGAAGCACCTTCATCATACTAATATATTACGTTTTAAAGGGGGGGGGCATGCCAGTTGCATCTGATTCTATTTGTATCCTTCCTCATATGAAATTTAGTTAAATAGATACATCCATCAGGAAATAGCTGTGTGGAGTCATTGTATCTCCCTTCACTGTAAATTGGTGTCCCATTTATAAATGATCAGCATGTAAATTAATTAAGCCACATCTCTCTACATGCAAATCTGACAACATCCAGACTTCAAGTCATCAGGGCAGCTAACAAAACCAAACCTAGCCAGATTCTAACTCACGACAACCCCAGGTGTATCAGAGTAGAACTGTTTTGCTTAGCGTTTTCAATGGCTGACTTTTCAGAAATAGATCACCAGGCCTTTCTTCCAAGGTACTTCTGGGTGGGTTCAAACCTTTAGCCTTTCAGTTAGCAGACAAGCATGTTAACTGTTTTCACCATGCAGGGATTCCATTCCTTCTCCAGATTGTTTAATTTGTTTTGAGAAAACTATCCAAAACTTATTCAAAATTTAGAAACAAGACAAAAATGCTACTGTGTGTGCTTTCAGGTTGTACTACAGTTTTGTCTAAAAATTCCATTCACAGGTTATCTGATACACTCGGGCAGCACTATACAATAAGATAGAATGTGAGTCACATAAGGAATTTTAAATTTTCTGATATTCACACTGAAAGAACTAAAAAGAAGGTGGTGGTTGTTGTTGTGTGCCATCGAGTCAGACCTGACTCATAGTGACCCTTCCTTGGGTTTCCGAGGCAGTATCACTATGGATGCAGATTGCCCAACCTTCCTTCCGAGGAGTGGCTGATGGGTTTGAACCACTAGCATTGTGGTTAGCAGTCAAATGCCTTAGGCACTACACTATCAGAGCTCCCACATTTGTAGCAGAGATGGTTTCAATCCATCGACCTCTGGGTTATGGGCCCAGCATGCTTCCGCTGCTTAATTCTATTAATATATTTTATTCAACTAAATACTATATCCAAAATATGATCACTTCAGTATATAATCATTATTTTTAAAAATAGTGATAGTTACATAATTTTTTCAATGGTACATCTTCTAAATCTAATGTACTTTTCACATTTACAGAACATTTCAATTCAAACTGGCCACATTTCAAGTGCTCCATGGCACCGTGTAGCTTCCATATTAGGCAGCATAGCTTTAAGGGAGAGTAACTTTGAGTTATTATTTACTTCTAATTAGGCCCAGATCATGTAAAATTTAATGTTCACTTGTTGTTGTTGTTGTTGTCGTTATGTACCATCGAGTCAGACTCAATTCATAGCGACCCCTTCTTGGGTTTCTGAGCTCTGGTAGTGTAGTGCCTAAGGCATTTGACTGCTAACCAGAAGGCTGGCGGTTCAAACCCACCAGCCACTCCTCCAAAAGAAGACTCAGTGATCTACTTCCATAATGATACTACCTCGGAAAACCAAGGAGGGGTCACCATGAGTCAGATCCGACTCCACTGGCAGTATGTTTGGTTTTGGTTTTGGTTATCACTATGAAAGTAGATTGTCCAACCTTCCTTCCGAGGAGTGGCTGATAGATTTGAACCACCAGCCTTCTGGTTAGCAATCAAGTGCCTTAGGCACTACACTACCAGGGCTCCTAATGTTCACTTTTAGGAGATTAATAAATTAATATATATTTTTTGTCCAATAGAGAGGCAAGTGAATTCTTCCCAGTAGAAAAGAGAACCCTAAAGTTTCTGATGATGTTAACTAACCAATGTTGCAGTCTTCTTCCAGCATTCTGTCTTTCACTGACTAGATACACATTTCAACCTGCTGTATCTTCCTTTGACCAACTTTGCCATCTTACTTATTCCTTCATTAGAGACTTACATCATTCTTTGACACCTACACAAGCTCACTGGTGATATACATGTATGACAGTCATGGCTTTAACTTTTTGAAAATCATACTTTGACACTCGATTAGCCAGTTCAACTTGGTTGTCCTAAGGGCTCATTTATGAATCAGAATCTTTAAAAGTCATTCTGAAAATCAGAAGGCACAAAGTTTTGACCTTTAACCTTAAGTGACCTTAGACCTTATTGGTGTTCATGGAGTGTCAGGCTTGGAAATAAGACTGAACAAGGCTGTGAGCAGCAAATTCCTATTAAAATTAGCCCCAAGGAAAAATTTAGATAAAGAGTATGATCTTCCCACTCAAAATTCACAGCCTCAAGAAAGCCACTAGTAAATGGAGGACTGACTTAAAATATTGCAATGCAATATATTGTGTGTTCTTGTATTTACACACATCATGTATACTAAGGGCTTGTTAATTTTCTTTCCCACCACATTCTTTAGGCTCTGGAAACACAAAGTTAAATACACAGGGCAGAATGTCAATACCAAAAGCCTTTCATGGAGCTGGAGAGACTCCAACAGCAAGATGCACTCAAAGGAGAGTTGAGAGGAGTTTTGGGGACATTATATGGAACAGCAGCTGACAGCTGATTATTTATTTATTTATTTATTACATCACTTTTATCCTACCATGACAGAGGAGGATTCTGTCTGCTTTGGGATTTAGATAATTCCCTGGATGGTGCAAATGGTTAACACACTCTGCTGCTAATTGAAATGTTAGAAGTTCAATTCCATACAGCCTTGAAAGAAAGCCCTGGCTATCTGCTTCCGAAAAACTAGCCACTGGAAACCCTATGGAACACAGTTCTACTCAGACACAAATGGGGTCACCATAGTTGGAGTTGACCTAATGACAACTTTGTGTGTGTGTGTGTGTGTGTGTGTGTGGTCTTTAACCTAATATTAACAAATCTTTGTTTCAGGCCCCAGCTAGGAGTGATTAAAACCTAATTCTTCCAGACTCACCAAGGAATGAGGCAGCCACACCACTGGCATGACCAGCCTCAAAGAGTGTAAGGTACTAGCGCTCCTCTTCACTAGAAGATGGTCAACATGGGTCAGCCTGAGAAACAGTACGAAGGAAAGGACTCTAGGAGATGTGTGCAGCATAAAGATTGGGATGTTCCTGAACTTCTAGTCTGTTTTCTTGCTTTGGCCTCACAAAATATTCTTACAAATAACTCAGAGCAACATTTCTGTTCTCTTTTCAAATGTTGCAGACAGGTGGCTAATAATGAAGCCATTAGGCCTCAGCCAAAAATGCCCCCTCACACACTAGTCGGTGAACACCTCAAGTACTGAGAGCAGGGTAT